ATATGAGAACATGCAGGCCTACATTACCAAACGCTAAACGTAGGAGAAGCGCCAAGAGAAATAAACTATCGTTTCCAAAGGGGGAATGTGTGCTGGTTTGCCAGTTATTCAAGAGTAGATAATGTACTAAAATGACAATATGAAAGGTTTAATATGACACGTAGCCTTCCATGATCAATGGGAAAATTATCTACAATCATATCATATTTGTGGAATTTCTCGCATGTACAACACGGTCTGTTCGCGATTCACAACAAACAGGAAATTATTACAATCTCATTAAGTTATAAAGTAACATAAGAGACCAAAACGAATGACAAATTGAGGATGAACTGCAGGATATGGGATGCCTGATCTTATGGGTACAGCTGGTACACCGCGAAAGAACGAGCGGATCAGCATGGATCCTGCAGAAAAGAGCGAGCGGATCAGCAGGGATCCTGCAGAAAAGAGAGAGCGGATCAGCAGGTTCCTGCACAGAAGAGCGAACGGATCAGCAGGGATCCTGCAGAAAAGAGCGAGCGGATCAGCAGGGATCCTGCACAAAAGAGTGAGCAGATCAGCAGGGATCATCCACATGGGTGCAACAAACGTTACTCTCACCATCAGCCTCCACGAAGGACGAGCTCAGAAGTAACAAACATGCTGCTATGCAGATGGAGAAAGAGACTTGCGGTGCCATTTGGTCTGGAAATACGGGAAAACTTTGCTTGCCGTTGTGCACTATGCAAAGTGCCGTAACAGCTCGCTTTGGCGTAAACTTTGACCCAGAAGTGCTAGATACTGAGCCACTCCTTCACTCTTTGTTCGTATCCAATGCTAGATACTGAGTCACTCCTTCACTCTTTGTCCATATCCAATGCTAGATACTGAGCCACTCTCCACTCTTTGCTCAGGTTGGGCTGCCTTCCAGGGTAAACCCCAGCCTTGTGCCCTGTGCGCTAGTTCCAGTGCCCTACAATGGGCCGATCTGACTGTACCGCAACTCCGTGTCTGGTGCTGCCTGAGACAGACTGCAGGCAGCCCCTCCCCTGTGACGCTAGCGAGGCTATGCGATAGACCGGTTGGTTGATGTATGGATGATGGATGGATAATTTAAATTCTTGGTTGTTCACATATTGTTGCACACGTATGTATCATTTAGTGTCCATGCTGAAAAGACAGCAATCACCTCAGGTGAATCAGGAGAAGCAGATACTGGTGCACAAGCACACCATAGTGTTGGAGCCTGGAATTTAAAGTTTTCAACCTAGAGTACAGATATACTGAAATACTGCTTCATGTGAAGCATGGAATTCCCCAACATACCTAATTCTCTATCAAAAAATGAACAAATTCACATGACCATGCCGAACGTGAGGTAATTACTGGTCTGTGGTTGGTTGCTACCTCACATCACCTCATTTGCCACAAAGTCAAAAACTTTAAAAAGTAATGAGACATAACATAATGAGACAGCATCAAATTCGATATTTATTGAATATTTCTTTAAAATGCTACAGGCGTTTAGTTTTTTTTTTCCACGGCTTTCTCCAATAGACTGTATCGTGATGTTGTAAATGAACCCACTCTTCAGACATAGTGCTTCTTGGGCATCACTTGGCCAGCAGGTGTCACCTTCATGCGATGTTTCAAAAGATGGAACCTATTTCGGAATCAGTTGTTTCACTTCTTTCGATCTCTCACAAGCCCCGTTTCTGCCATCACTGCTAGAAAACACTCCGCATGCGAAGGTACCGATGTTAATTTATTATACCTGTTCGCTAATGATGACGATCCTCCGGCAAAACCTTCAGCTCTTCCCGTCTTACTAAGCCGGACACACCGGAGCCCACCCTGCGGAACATGAGACGTTTTGTCGCGTCGCTGGCGACTCCGAACAGCCCGAGCCGCTCCATCGGCCTCCCCTCGGCAGTGAACGTCAGCACTCCGGCCGGCTGCCGCACCGCGTAGCCCCGCCCACCGCCGAAGCCCAGGCCAGGCGTCTCGAGACTATCCGCGCGACAGCCGCAGCCGTTTTTTTTTCTCGCGAGGAAGGACGCCATTATCGGAATCGCACAAACAACACGAGAATTCATCATTCAAACGGTAATATAAACCGAGCTTGAGCTGTTCGTGTCCCGCCGCGGGAACCCTGAGCTGAATGGCTGGGTATCGCGGTCCCGCTGGCCGAGACGTGTTAGTGGATTTCGCTCGACATTACCACTAGTCTTAACTGTAATTACGACCAGAAGCCCTGCGACCGACATTTTGCGTGTTTAGCCAGCCAGTAGGCGCCGGGGCCTGTGTCGCTAGCCGGCTAGCTAGTTAGCTAGCTGTTTCGTGGAGCATATCCTGTTATCTCCTTACAGCGTCCAGGAAAAGATGCGTGTGTTCTGCATCATATAACATATTAGATATTTCATTCAAGACATCATATGATTAAATGATAATATCGGATGGATATTCGCTAGGATACACAGCCTACTACAGAAATGCTAGCTATGGATTACGATTTGGATCCAGCCGACAAAGTACCCTCTCCCTAACTATTTGGCATATAGAGCAGAAATATAACAAGCAGAAATTGACAAATAATGCTGTCGTCAGAAAATTAGCACGAACTATGTCGTTCGCATGTATCTGTGGCAGCAGTTGCCTAACAGTTTCTGTTTAATGCCGCTTTTGAGTTTGCCGGACAAATGCCATTCATATTTATTTACGACTTTCTAAAGTCCCTGACTGTACTTTCCCCTTATCAGCCGAATCACACATTTTAAGTTACAAACCACAGTATAATTAAGGCGTAACATTTCCATAGGGTGACATTAAAATTAGCTCCAACCTAAGCCATAGTAAGCCACTAAGAAACACTGGGGATCAGCCCCAATCCGACAGCAGACAATATTACTTTGCCTAGGGGCAATTCACATAGACATTTTAGGAGTGTGGGAGAACTAGGATCTTCAGAATAAAACCGAGCTCTGTGTAAATGCATGTAATCACCCCCGAGGCTCTACGGACATGCCCCCCTCTTATTCCCACTAGTTTCTGCTATGGTTACAGTCAAACAGTATTTGCCTACGTCACATTTACAGAAATCCAGGATAATGGACTAAAATTAATATCCAACACGTTCAAAAATAAAATTATATTTATGATTGGAAAACGCAAGATTTGTTGAAATTATTTTTTTGCATTTTGAACGCCAGATAATTACTGTAATGGCTGTAAGCTTTTTTTTCTTACTATGTTAAAGCTTAATTTTATATGCTTGGTTAAAATTTCAGCTAATGGATTGGTCTTCTGACAAAAGGCTTCATATAGGACAATGCAATTTTAGACATAACTGTTTGACTAACATGACTGTGTGTGTATACTACCATACAGTATTCAGTTTTTATAAGTAGGGTGTTATTGCCAGTACCGTGGCATATGTTTTGAATGCATTAGTAATTCAACAATACTAAAGTAGGTTAAAAGTGAGCTCGACGCTAAAAGAAAACGGTTGTTCATTATGGTAGGAAAACACAAATATGTATCACATAAAGAAATCCTATATCCTAAGATTTCAGTAATTGAAATTATGCTATAATTAGATATATATAATTCCATGTGAATGACTTCCAAGCAAAGGTAATAATGAATATTTAAGAACTTGCTCTCAAAGCTTCTGTTTGGTATAAGATGTTAGACAGCGGAAATTGGTAAAATAGGTCTAAAATGATGCCATCAGTTAATGTGTTAATGATTAAGAAGACATCAGAATTACCCTGGGTGGCAAACTGGTGCTCAAGAGCCCTGTGTTACTGCAGGCATTATGGATTTTCATGGTTCATACTCATAATTGGCAAACGTCATTATGATTCTTTTTATTGAATGATACATGTAATACTTCTAATGTGGAATATGATTTATTTGTATATGTTTTCAGGGCATCTGGGTTGAGAGGTAATACAGGGGAGTCATTCTATGGCTTTCTGTGTCCTCCATCCACTTCATGCTGGCCCATGATTGGTTAATGCCTTACAGAGGAGCTCTGTAGTTAGTGCATTGCTAGGTTTTGTGGCCCCGGCAGTCTTAATGATGTCGGAGCAGGATCTGGTGGAGATGGTTCAAATTGCAGTGGGAGACTTGAACCAAGAGGACCCTCCTGGTAAGATGCTTCCTTGTCCCCCTCATTTTTCTACAACCTGACACCATTAAACTCGCCATTTACAAACTTTTATTTTTTCAATATACCCCTGTTATTTGCTGTCACAGAGCAGTATACACGTAAAATAAGATTAAAATATAAATCCACTGGTGATATTGATTGCTGCTGAGGATGCTAACTGCTGGTGTGTTTTGTTTAGTTGTGATCGAGAATCATGACGATGGCGATGACAAGCCCGAGAGAAAACGTCAGCGGGTGGAAATCAACTGTCAGGATTCCTCTCTGAAGGTACACAACTGCATTATGGGTATGCTGTCACGCACCTTGCATTGTAGGGTACGGCACAGTCTGATGCACTACATAGGGCTCTTCCTCCTTCATGTTAGTATCATGTTGTATATATGTCTCCATGCAGACAGATTCTGGGAATGAAGGAAATGTATTTGTATTCCTCTCTGTGTTTAGTTTTCATAGGTTTCACCCTTCATTTTTGGTTATGGGGGGCGGGTGGGGGGGTATTATCTCCCCTCAGCCTGCTCCACAGAGCCTCTTAATCCCTGTGGAGGGGGGGTAGGGTTATGCCAGTGTATTTACATATTAAAAGCTGACATGTCTCCTGATTTTTTTATCTCACGCTATGTTATGAAGTAAAGTTTTGAATCTCTGTCTTTAACCAGGATGTTATGGAAGGGCATATTCTTAGGTCTCTCTCTCTCTCCCCTCTGCTTTGGCTTGCAGTCTCTGCTGTACTCCATTAATCAGACAATCTGCCAGAGGTTGGAGGCCATTGAGGCCAAGTTACAAGTCCTAGAAGCGGCTTGTAGGACACTGGAGGAGAAGTTAGATCTAGTGATGAATAAGAACCAGGGCCCCATCCAGGTGCCCATGGTGGCCGGGTCCCCACTGGGTGCTACGCAAACCTGGAATAAAGTACGCTGGTGAGTGAGGAATGAGACCAGACGCAGGACCTGCAGTGACCTCTCTGGGGCTTCAGCTCAGGGCTGGCGTGCAACTGCAGTGTGCAGCAGTTTGGCCCTGGGCAGATGATGAATCTAATTAAAAATGTTTTAATAGCAGCTAGCGGGCAAATTGTCATTTTCTTGTGTGCCAATAATCCCTTTCTTCATTCCTTAGTGTTGTACCCCAGACAAATGTAATTGTGACTAGTGACCGGCCAAAGGGGGTGGGCCAGGAAGAGGCTACTATGCAGGGGGCAGAGTCACTGGAGAACCTTCTCAGCAAGTGAGTGTCGTTGTCCTGTTATGGTTGCTGTCATTCAGATTGCAGAGGCTTCCAAACACTCCATGGAGAGGCAGAGCAAGTGCTAACCATCCTCCATATGCTCACAGCACAGTGACTGGACGGAGGCAGAACACAATCCTGGTGAAGGTTCCCGCACCGGAAGACAGTCAGGAGGACGTGGAGAGTGGCTCAGAGGCAAGTGACTCAGTGTCCAACAGCGGCCAAGCCTCTGGCCAGAGCGCCAACAATGTCACCTTCATCACCCTCAACTCTGAAGGTACGAACTGCACATGCAACCTAGTGCAGAAACAGTAAGGAAACGCTAATGCAATGCAGACAGTTTATTGTGTGAGAGCATACTGACCATTGCTTAATAGTCTTTGTAACTGAGATTGATGGGAGATGAGAATCCTGTTTTAGGTTGAAAGGGCTTCAGAAAATTACAGTACTGAAGGATTAGACTTATGACTGCAGGTGTAGATTAAACTTGTTTTACAGTTTTCTGTCTCATGGAACGTGGTTCAACCTCTCAGGACCATAGCAAGAAGTGCATAATTTTAGTTTGATTTTTGCCCTCTCCAGCCCAAATAGACGGGTGGTATCACTTACTCTTGTTCCTTTTTTTGGCACTAGGGGGCATTTGATGCCTGTTTTAATAGTACAGCTTTCTGATTTTTTTGGAGTGTTTCAGCAAGTAAATGCAGGCTGAGCGTTTAGCTGTGTCATTTGGCATCCTTTCACGTCCTTGACTTGATACTATTAAGAGCTGTGATCTAGAGAAGGAAAGACTGAGTTTCAGGGCAGGCCAGCCAAGAGGAGCTTTGTGTCTCTCTGAGAAGAGCAGCCTGTATTCAGACCAAATGACGTACAAACACAACGTTTTCCTGTGTCCTTTCTGGAATTTATTCACCAAAGAAAGAGCTACTTCAAAAGGGGGTGTTTCTTAAAGGAATAAGTCTAACTTTCTTTAATAGCATTATACCATACTGACATCCCGCTTAAAGCCAAGACATGGTGAATTACTGTTATGTGAAATGCTCTGCTGTAGATAGTAGCCCATTGTGATGACAGGATAATCTACACTGGCTTTAATTAGCGTGACGTTCGTAGGGGTGGGTTTCTGCGGATGGCAGACCGTGTCGCGGGCCTGAGATTCTACAGACAATGCTGCATTGTTTTCCTAAATTGCAGCAATTTGTAGTGTCACGCGTGACATGCTGCTGCACTGCCACAGATGACAGGCTCTTGGCAAGATGGTCTTTATAGTCCTAGTTAATTTGAGAACCTATGCCCAGAATAGCCTCCAATACCAGTATAGACCCCATTGGTATATTTTAAGTATTAATAAGAAGGCCTCTACAGCCCTATCCTAGAAAAGTGACAGATGGATGGATCGATGGATTAATTGGAAGGCGCCCCTGTCCCACTCCCTGTGCACCCTTTACCTTCACAGAGGACTTTCCGGGGGGCACCTGGCTGGGCGATGAGAACAACCCAGAGATGAGGGTGCGGTGCCCCGTGTCACCTGCCGACATGCTGCACATCAGCACAAACTGCCGCACGGCAGAGAAGATGGCACTCACACTGCTAGACTACCTGTTCCACCGTGAGATACAGGCTGTGTCCAACCTGTCTGGCCAGGGCAAGCACGGCAAGAAGCAGCTGGACCCCCTCATGATCTACGGCATCCGCTGTGAGTCCCCTGCACCTCCCCTTCAGTATGCTCAGACCTCAGATAACATTGCCCCCTGTCAGACCTCCAGTAGGGTGGATGTGGTTATGTTTAAGCTTTCTTTGTCTAGCAGCAAGGATTGCCTGCTGTCTTTGGTGATTGGCTGTGGGATTAGGAATACATAATGGTGTTGGCGGTATGCCTGCCCTATCGACTGCATGGTGCCAGTGCAATCCAAGGCACACGTACACACACGCATGTACACACTTTGCCTGATTAGGCAGATGCATGCTGTTTGTGGTGTGTATATGCTTGTTGTTTTTGGCCGGTGTTAAGCAGTTCGCCTTTGTCAAAGAAAAGAAATCAGAGCAATGAGATCTGCAGACGGTAGCTGTGACACCTGCGCTCTGACACACAGTAATGGGATTGCAGTCTTGTGTGAGCAGCTGCCTCATCCTGAATGAAACACACCATTGTTCCGAGTCGTAAATAAGTACAAGCGAGGGGCAGGCATTCTTTGGCAGGTTTAAAATCACACTGCTAACCTACTGGCTGTTAGGTTAGTTGCTGCTGTTGAATTCTTGAATGCTTGGAAAAGTTGTTTGCATGGGCATTAGATGTTTCCTAAGATAATTACAGTAAATCAGAATGCCATGCATTTCACATTTTGACAGCTGAAAATCCCCGCATTGACCCGCCTCTTTCGGCGAAGGTGGGTGTCCCCGGTGTTGGCACCTGCCTGTGCCTAAGGCCTGGGGTGGAGAGGGAGTGCCATCACCCACAGTTCTCCCCAAGCTCCAAGGGCCTTATTAATCTGCCCTGAGTGATGCTGTCAGCTCAGGCAAATTCTGCCGCTTTCTCTCTGCCAAAACCAACAGGCAGCGTTAGCTTGATGTGTCCTTGCAATGCCAGAGCCTCGAGTCAGGTAGAAATGCACCAAGAATGCTGGGATAGGTGCACCGACATGGAGACTGGCATGACGCTATTTTTTCAAACATTATTGTTTGCACTGTATGTGAGGCCATTTTTCACTGAGGGTTTTTCGTAAACGTGTTTGAGTTTAGCTTGTAGCTACAAGGATCCATTTTTGTGTGTGCTGGTGCATTATTTTGTGCCTGCTTGCACATACGAAGTTGCCTGTTTATTTAACAGCTGGGGTGGTGTCCTGAAGTTCACAAATTCACATCTTCAAAAGCTTGATGATGCTACAGATAGACTATTTAATCCCTTTCCCCTGATCTTCCTTAATCCGTTCTTGTGTCACCCTTTCACTTCTACCTTTTCTTGTCTTTTCTCTCCTGACAAATACCCATCTATGACGTCTCCTCCCTATCCCCCGGTCAGGTCACCTGTTTCACAAATTCGGGATTACGGAGTCAGACTGGTACCGGATCAAACAGAGCATCGACTCCAAATGTCGCACGGCCTGGAGGCGGAAGCAGCGGGGCCAGAGCCTGGCTGTCAAGAGCTTCTCCCGCAGGGCCCCCGCCTCGCAATCCTCCTCAGGTACCGAAGCTCACCACTTAGTCCGTGATCCCAGCAGTGACCCCCTGGAGTTGATTGTGTAATATTAAATCGCCATAATAAGTCGGCAGGCATTTCCTCTTATCCTCTTTTGGGATTTGGTTCTGTGTGCCTTTGTGTCTAGTTACTTCAGTACATCATCTAGTGCAGAAGGCTTGTCCTGGTGACTGCTACTGTTCCAGCATTAACTGATTACTTTGGCTAATACAATATACTGATCTTACGCCTGTATTTGTTTTTAAAAGCTGCAGATAATTTGCAAACAGTATTGTTAATGAAAATGTTATACGTGCAGCTGTTTTTGCCTTAGGGAAGAATTACGTAGACCGGAGGTTTTCAAGCTGGAGTAGAGCAGTTACTGGGGGTCCACAGAAATGTTTCCCCTAGTGCGGAGCAACTGTTAAAGCCCCCCAGGACTTAAGTGGTCACGCATTAGAAGTAGGGGGTCCCTAGTTCTGGTCTATTTATTTGGAGGTCCCTGGTTTAAGAAAGGTTGAAAAGCCTTGATTGAATCAGTGATCCTGTTAATTCCAGGGATAATAGCTATAAAATAATGAGCTCATGAAAAGTAATTAGGGCTTTACCAATTAAGGTTTTAATAGGAAAAAGTAAACACAGTATTTAAGTACTTACTGCAGTGCAAACCCACTCAGTGAGACGCAGAAATGTCAGGGCATGTCATATCGCAGTCATAAATCAAGCAAAGATCCCAGTCAGACTGTTTTCGTTAGAGACTCAGCTGGAGTACAAACCAGCATATAAACAAGGTGTACAAAATCGGGTCTAGAACCCAGCAGCATTTGGGTTTCAGGAGGGACCCATGACACAGCCCTGCATGGCTGGCTTATTTGAATTTTTACTACAAGGGATGGTGTAAAAGAAAAGTGAGGTCAGACACTCACTGTGCTGGAGCAGAGCCAGACATACGGATATAATCTGCACCCTCCACATGATCGCTCAGCTTTTTCCTTTGAGTGGGGGTGATGGGGAACCAGAATAGCCAGCCCGGGGGTGGGGGCGGCACCTCCCTCGGCCCTTGTGTGGGAGAAGGAAGCGTTCTGCCTGGAGTGTTCTCCGTATGGAGCAGTTCCCTCCTGGAGAGACAAGCGGCAGAAGTTGAGTCCATGCTGGGCTTGCGGTCGCTGCGGGGCGCTCCTTTTATCTCATCCGGGAAGACGGGCAAAAATATAACAGTTAAACATAACCAGGGACTGAGAAAACAGGCACCCTTCAGCATAAAGAGCCGATCAGCAGCCTGTCAGCCACGACTCGCACTCTGAGCGCAGTGTTAGACACCACTGGTGGTCAGATCTGACGCCCCAGGCACCATCGCCGTGCGATGGGATTGTGAACACGCAATCAGAGCCGTGGAAGCAGAGCTTGAGGCTGGGCTGACCAATATATTGTATTTTCATCATCATCATGATATGAACATATGTGATAAACGCATCGCAAAAGACTGCAATACACATTTGTAAATATATTTTATTGATGTAAATGCTTGCTGACATGGGTAAGGGTGAACTTGGAAAAAAACCGTGAAATCGGCAGAGTCTTAAAAAGTATGATACAAGTTTTTGGTCATAACCCTCAGGACTAACTTACGTGTTGTATTAGATTGATAATGTATATATAGCTTGATAGCGACATGTTTTATTGGTTATTACCGTATATAAAAAACGTCTAAAGCCGACTTGTTTTATTATATTATTAATGTATATTCAGCTCAGTGTATCTGGTAAAGCAAAATGACATGGGAACTGTGTAGTTAATATGCACACTTCAATATTTGTTTATCACAAGTCTTATCATCTTTGCAATATCGAGCAATATTGGTGCATATTGCAGACTTGCCTTGTATGCTGCGCCTATCTTGAGCTGACCTCGGGCTCGTGTCCCTGTGCTTCCAGAGGGGACTGCCGGGGCAGGGGCGTCGCCGACGGAGACCTCTGCCCAGCAGGCGCTGCATTATGCCCTTGCCAACAGTCAGCAGGTGCAGATCCATCACATAGGGCAGGATGGACAAGTGCAAGTGGTTGGTGTCTCTCTCGCTCTCCCTCTTCCACGTACACATGCACACACACATACACCCACACACACACACTTTTGTATTCATATCTTTGTGGGGACCATCCATTCCTTTCCTGTGGGGAAAAACAACGCAACGCAAAATGCAGGCACACAGGTCAGACACAAACAGAATCAGCGCACACAGCCACATATATTAATGCAGACATACACACTTGCAGGCACAGATCAGATATATCAGACTTTCCGCCTGCCTTTGATTGTTCCCTGCACCGATATGCCTGAGGGCATCTTCTAAATATACTAACAGTTATTAGAGAGATGAGTAACACCAAAGTCATGAACATTTCCCAAACCGTTTGGCTGGGTTCGCCTTGGCCTGAAGCACTTGGCCATAAAATTGCGGGGAAAGCCCGGTGGGTGTCTCTCACCGGCTCTTCCTACAGATCCCTCAGGGGCACCTCCACATCGCACAGGTTCCTCAGGGCGAGCAGGTCCAGATCACACAGGACAGCGAGGTGAGTCTCTCTCAGGCTGCTTGTAGGAGCGGGTATGGGGGGCAGAGGGTGATTTTTGTAGCATGAAGCATTCTTCTATGTCTGGAATTGATTGTTGAGTCAGGGATGTCTGTATCTGGTTGTGCTGTGTTGTGGATCTGCTTCTGGTATTCGTTGCATGGCATTTTGGAGAGTGGGGGGGTGTATTTGTGTGTCTGAGCAGTGGTGTCTGTTTGGGCCTCATGATATCTCTTTTTGTTGTGCCTGTTTCACAGGGAAATCTGCAGATTCACCAGGTTCATGTGGGCCAGGATGGACAGGTGAGGCATTTCCTTCGCTAGTGGTCCTGGTTGGACACAGCTGTTGATGTGACTCAGCTTGTTGCTGCATTGGACTCTTTGCCCTCCCCTCTCACCAAACATAGAGACCATACAGAGGACGTGCCACTGTCGCCTATGGCTTACTCACTGGGGGCTTTGGGTGGGGATGCTGTAAAGGGCTTTGAGACGATGTAATGTTGTGATAATGCGCTATACAAAAATAAATTTGTTTGTTTGTTTGTTGTGAACTGAAGTACAGCCTTAGCTCAGGATATTTAAGCCATGGATTGGATTATTTGCATTTTTAGTGCAGGATGCAGTTTTTACTCTCTGCTTTAGCGTTATAGGCTCCGAGATACTGGTCTGGGAGCACTGGTCAGGAACGAGGATAGTGATCTGCAGAGATGGTAATGAGATTTACATTTTTTAGTTCTAACTATGATGGATCAGGGAATGGTGTGATATGTGAAGAGGGTGGCACAGCGGGAATGTTGTTAGGTTTTGTTTTTTACCAGAGCACAGAAGAGGTCCTGGTACGTTGTGTCTCTCTTTGTGGCTTGAGCACATTGTCTCAGTGGGTAGCACTGTGGCCTCACACCTCTGGGGTTGTGGGATCAGTTCCCACTTCTGCTCTGCTCTGTGTTTCGTGGATTTCCTTGCATTATTCTGGTTTCTTCCCACATTTAAATATCAGTTAGGCTCATTGGTGTCTCTGAATTTCCTATAGAGTATAATTATGTTTGACTGTGTGTAAGTGGTGTAACAGTTCTGGAACCAAACTGAAACCGCAATACAAACGTTCATGGTCCATCCAACCCCAATCCAACCCCAACCCGCTGCCGTGGGTGCAGTCTGATGAGCTCTCATTACATTGGTAACATTACAAAACATTTTTCATTTTACACTGCAACGCATGCAAATCACAAAAGTAATATTCTGTTTAAAGTTAGGACAAGCTGTATATTATGTGAATACCACACATTACACTTAGTGTGTGTGTCATGTGACTACTTTGTTCATGATTGAGTGATCACACTTTTGGTAAAAGCTAGGCTACTTTCACGTTTAAGTCAGTGGTGTGGGAACATCTTGGTTCTCCGGTAGAATATAAAATTATTTTTTGTTTATGTAGTTATTTAATGTGACGTTAAGGTAATCTGCCATGTTCTTTAGTGTTCTTCTGTTAGTTGATAGAGATTAATAAAACTGTTTTTTCCCACCTTCTTTCTTATCCAAAAAAGAAGTTCGAAGTGGTTCGAAGTTGGATGGATATTTGTGGCTTTTTTGAAACAATAACGTGATGAAAGGAGGCTGAATGTGCACACTTTTGGGGAGATTGTGAGATTTTTGCTTGCCTATGAGCGTGTAACTGACTCTGTGTGTGAGACAGAATAGTAACCACTGGGGTCACCTGTAGGAAAATTGTTGGTGATAGTTTACAACAGACAAAAGTAGGGGTTTTGGCAAATCTTACAAGCTGTAAAATGAAGTCTTTAAATCAGATGAAGGTGTTCCCTTCAGTACATCAGAGCCTAAGCACTGTGCACGTGTGTCAGCTGATCCATTCCTTGCTTCCAGGACATTGTTTGCCCTGTTTATTCTCAGCCAGTGTTCCTTGGATTTGAGTATATTCATCCCCACCCTTCCTCATGCAAGTCCTGAAATGACCCGTTGCACTCTTGTGTATCGTTGGTCTAAGCTTCAGCTCTCCAATTCTGAAACTCCACTGGGCCAATCACTCCCACTGCCATGAGAATCTGTCCCAAATCTCGCTGTTTTGCAGTGATATAACACACGTCTCTATCTTAATAGTTTACATGCAGGGGATCGGTAGCTTTCTGTCACTGATATCTATTTATTTTATTATTTGTCCGTTTGTTCATTTCTTTTGGAAACACTCATGCTACACATCTGCACTGCTGTTCTCTGTTGTGCTTGCCCTTGCTGTGGTCCGTGATAAGCCTCTGTGTCACTCTGTCTGCAACTTGGCGTGAGTTTTGGGTGATGAGGGGGAACCACTTCAGAGCTGAGCCCCAGGGAATAATGAATTGAAGGGAAATAGAAATAAATGACTCAGCTGTGCATGCTGAGTCAGAAAAAGCACTGGTGTTTGTTTATGTCGGGCTGCTGTCGTTCCTGCTCTGAGTGCCATGAGGGAGTCTTCTTTCTGTGTGGGTTCGTTCCTGTTTCAGTACCGTAGAACCTTTCAAATCCCCTCTGGTCACTATGCTCTTAGGCCCAAAACACAGTACGGTGGCTCGGTTGTCTCGGTTTGGTATAAAGCTTCTGTGATCTCAGCATTGTGAGGGACTTGCGTGGTACAGCAGCAGACTCTCCAGTTTCTCATTTCAGTCTTGTTGAGCAGGGAATCCCCATTCTAAAGTCTAAGTGCCGTGAGTGCCATAGGTACTGATCCTGAGCATAGGGTGGCCACAGGCATGACTTGGAAAAGGAGGACTAAGGCTAAAAAATGAGGATACTTGTGTCCAAAAAGGAGGACTGAGACTAAAAAAGGAGGATACTTTAGTCCAAAAAGGAGGAATAAGGCTAAAAAAGGAGGATACTTGTGTCCAAAAAGGAGGACTGAGACTAAAAAAGGAGGACACCTGTGTCCAAATAGGAGGACTCAGTCTAAAAGATGTGGGCAGTGGTGGCTTAATGGTTAGGGAAGCACACTTGTAATTGAAAGATTGCTGGTTCGAATCCCCAAACAATTCAGATTTTAACAGGTGTTGAATGAAGTACTGGATCTCAGTTCCCTCTTATGGGCTTTACCAAAACCCAAACTGGCCTTTGTGCTTCTGGCCTAAACTAATTGCCAGCTAGTTTCCCTGTGTGGCCTTGTGGTCTTGAATGAGCACTAGATCTATTTGTATTCAGATATTGCTTTTCGGACAGTCAAACTGATCCAAAAATCTGTCTTTTATGGTGCCAAAATTCTGCAGCATACGATTCAGCGGGAGCTCATATTTGTGTTCTCACAATGTCCTTTACTTACCCTTGTTAGTTCTTTAATTCCTTAATTTTTTATTTTGTCTGTCAAGTTATATGGACCCCTGGCCAAAATAAGCAGGCAACATATTACTATGCTAACCTTGTGTTCCAGGTCTCGGTTTTCACACACACACGCAATAGACAGTGTCCTGCTTGTGGCATATTCCCATCCATCCAAACAGTAATAGCTGAGAAATATGCCGTGTTCTCATAGCCTTGAATGTTTTCTCCCTGATCCAACCATGATGCAGACAGCAGAAGACATAACCTGACTTCAGGGCTTTGACTGGCGTTGAGGAACCTTGATAAGTAACACCACACCCGGAGACGCCGCCTTCAGAGAGGGTCTGTTGACCCTTTCAGCCAATATTTTGGTTCAGACAGTGGGGGCAGACCCCTCTGGTCCCGGGTTTGTTTTGGGTATGCTGTGTTTGCGGCACATCAGCAGCATTTTCTGTAGTTTCCATCACTCCTAAACAGTTTTTAGCTATAGCATTACAATCAGTCATGGCATTCAGGGGCAAGACTCTAGGGTGATTGGGGAAATCCTGAAGGACAGGTTTTATTTATATATTTTATTGAACCTGGCACCCCCAGTGGAGCTTGGGGGGTCCTGATGAATATTTTTACTTTAATATCACCTATCAGAAATACAAAATAAACTATTCTTCAGTCAATCTGTGTTAATGTTTTGTATCATGGTCTTGGTAGAATTTCCACTTTGGTCCCAGCATTAGTTCTCATCCCGATGGTCTGACGTTCTGCTCAGGATTCTCTGGTATTTCTCAGATTTCATGGGGCTGTTGATTGTTTTGAGTTTTCTGGGTCTCAGGTAACGACAGTCTGACCCCCATGCTGAACTGTAGGCATAGATGTATAGTATTCTGTTGGTGGGCAGTGTTGAGGTTTCTCTAAATATGTTCTTTTTGAGTATGGCCAAAACGGTCAGTTTTGGAGTGAGACCAGGGAACAGGCTTCCTAAAATTTTTAGGTTTGGTCCATGTGGTCTTTGGCAAACTTTGTTAAGAGCAGTTGAGCTCTTTTGAGAGAGCAAATATCATCTAACTAAAACTACCATTGCATGAATGCTAGTTTTATTCAGTATTTTTCTTCTTTTTGATGGATGTACAATGACATTAGATGCAGCAAAGGAGGCTTGTAGACTTCTGGATTTTATTTCTCGGTTGATTATTTGAATTATTTTTCTCTTGTCTCTTGGTAATATTTTCAATAAATGTCTGTCGCTAGGCGGAATCACTGTCATTTTAAATGATCTTCATTGGTATATTTTTCTCACTATTCAATTCAAGTCTATTCAATTTGTTTTTATAATCCTTTCTCACCACTGAGGTCTCTGTGGATTGTGGCCTGGCATGTTGCGTTCACCTGTATGAATAACACCAAAGTGGTGAGCATTATTCCATATTTATAATGCTGATCAAGGTCTTTCCTAAAGAGTAGACCATTGATCAGTTGACTTGGCACTCTGTGACTCACTCAGCTCCCATCGGATTAATTTAACTGATGTAACAGGAAGTGTGCTTTTTGCACTCTTTTTATTCTATGCTCAATTAAAAATGGTCTTTGTAAATATAAGCCCGTACCCCTTATTTCAGTTATGGCTGGTTCTAATAAAATGAAGATTTCATGTTTAAATTTCCACAGTTGTACAAGATGCTCACAGGCTTAAATTTGTAACACAGATTTGTAACAGTGGGGTGTATGAACTGGGGAGTATTATGGGCAAGCAGCATTTAACTCTGCTTTTCTCTGTACCCTTTGGGCCCCTGAGCTATGGCTGCTTGCTGCTGCTGTCCTTCATAAGCATCTAAAGGAGTTTTTGAGCTGCTGACAGGAGGCATTAATAAGTCTCAAGAATGTTGGATCTGCTGTAGGTCTGTAGAATAATTCTTTTCTCTTTTGCCTCCAAGATGCTGTAAAAAGCCCACTCTTCTTGGCCTCTGTTTGCATATATGACCCATATTTCTGCCTGTTCATGTGCATGATGAAAGTTAAGTAAAAGATGATCTGTGTTTGTGTTTTTTGTATTACTTGATAAACAGATGCAGTAGAGAGCTTTAATTATACCGCTGCTAAAATTAGACAGCCGTTATTCATGGCCAGGCTATTAGGCACTAAAAATAAACTGCTCCGTTACATGAGACTGTCTGGTATCCATCGTAACAGTAGCATGAGCCATGTAAAGAAGCCAGCTGCGTTTAACCTTAATTGTAGGTAATTTGCTGGTAGAATAGCCCTGCCTTACAACCGTGATGGCTTCCAAAAGGAGTAGTTCAGATCTGCAGGGTGCTCCGGTTCTTGTGTTGACCCAAAATCCCTGCCTGAGTGAAACTAAGGGTGTGAGATGCCTGGCTGCAGTGACATAGTGTATGGCCAAATGAGAAGGCCTTGAGGAGCGTTCGAGATGCACCTCACTGATCCTGTCGCACAACCAGCTTCTGTCGTAACGTTGACATTCCGCTACAGAAATGTATCCCGAAGCTGCTTGAACCGTGCAAGGGATCAAATACCTTTTTGGTTCTGGGCATGCAAGTTACTCTCTGCTGGCAAAGGAATCCCTGTTAGGAGAGAGTGGTTTGGTCGCTCCTTGTCCTCAGATGTTTGTGATTCTTCCAAGCTCCCCCTGTAACCCAGATCTTCTTGGTAAACTATTAAGGAACTGAGAAAAATAAGGAAAACCTCACTTTTCTTCACAGAAAACCAACTACAAAAGTATTCCAGATTTTATTGGTCTGTGCATCACGTGTCACATCTGGACAGCCACAGCAAGCATAGTGATATTATCATCATCCTTAATAGACATTATTTAACTGTTATATATAGTCTATTGCAGCATGTTTTTTTTGTAGTGGGAAATAATACAGCCAGGGGTCAAAAAGTTTTAAAGCAGGATGCACAAGAAATTCTGATTGATGGTAGATACCACTGCCAATTCTTCAGTTAGGGTCTCAATGTTCCTGTGTCCCCCACTCCACTCCTCTAGTGGTTTGATCCGCCCATCTGCCTTGGCTCAGGCATTGTGTTAGCGCAGATGTTGTGGGCCACTGCGGACCATGCGGGAAGCGTCGCTGCGAATGCTGTTTCTGCGCTGAAGCTAATAATGGGAAGCAGATTGAGCGGAACACTCGCAGGCCAAGCGGGAGGTGGTGGTCTCAACCAGACCGCCGGTTATTACTTCACTTTTATTTATGTAGCCCATAGTCACGCACAAAAATAAGTATAAAGGGGTGAGGGGGGGCAGGCGGGCGCTAGCTTAGTTTCATTCGTCCCTTTCTGAACCAATGCCTGGAAATTTCAGCTTTAACGCAATTGTTACTGTATTTCTGTTTACGTCACCCCTCATCTCACCGTGTCAAGAATTTGTATTATTTCAATGCCAATGTTGTCACTGTAGCCAGCAGGCTGGTGGTGTTATGGTTAAAAAATGGATCCTGTGACTGCAGCTTACAGGTTCAGATCTGTTGTGTTTGTATCTGTGGTTGGTGGGACTGCTTGACACACTGCCCCTGGAGGCTGCAGCTGGTATTGTTTCCACATGGATTATCCACCTGGACGTCCCATCCATTATGGTCTGTCAAAACCGGGTAAGGGATACAGTCCTGAGTAAGTGTGTGAGAGATTGCTTTTATGCAGGCATTTTTCAGGCACTTATCAGGTGGAAGATGTTTTTTGAATTCACAAAAATTGAGAGAAAGGTCCATTAGCGACTCTAGTGGCCTGTCACATTTTGGGTATGAAAAGGAGGCTCTGTGAGGCTGTTGTGATGAAAATGCCAAAGGCCAGTTTTGTATACTGTCTTCTTGTTGTTGTCTCGCCATAAGACTGGTGGTTAGTCTGTTTGTGGTCAGAGTCCAGGTCTGTGTGCTTGTGGTCAGTTATAGCACATTGGTGGTTCAGTCACAGTGATAGTCTGTGTGTTTTGTGGGCAGTCAGATTGCTGGTTGCTGTGTTCATGGTTAGATTATCACAGCATGTTGTCACCAAGCGCACTCTAGAGAACTGACAGACGTGCCTTTTGATGTGTCCGGCTGGCACTCGTTACTCATATTAGCATTGTTTGCATTCAGATGTCTCGTCTGTAGGAGGACGGAGCCGCGATGGCGATGGGTCAGAGTCTCCCCCTGTGCCAGTGGGGATGGGGGGGGGGGCTGTAACTGAGGTTTGTGTGGGATTTTTCAGCAGAAATAAAAATAGGGAATGTTGGCATTCCGACTGTTCTGTATACCAGTCTGAAAGAAGACAGGGCATTGAGTGTGGAAAGAAGAGAATCGTGGGGGGGTCGGACCATTAATCACATAATCCCTTCAAAGTAATGTGCACGTTCGGTAAAGGTTTGCTCGGGATAAATTCTTTAAATCCTGACACCTTATCTTAAAGTACACTGCTACAACGGGCCCATGTTCACAGTCAGGTCGATATGTCTACTTTGTTTTCTTGATTTTGCTTGCAGTTTTACAAGCAGACACTTCACGGTATGTTTACTGGGGAATGAGGAAAACAGGCAAAGCCATTTTGCCAGGGAAATCTGAAGGTGAATATCTCCCTGGCTGAGTGCTGTCTTATGGGAGCATAACATCTGAGCTTATCCAGCTCAGAGATCAGAAGCTCAGCGTGTCCATAAAGTCCACAAGGCCGGCTTGTCTCTCATCGTGTCTGTGTTAATGCTTTGCATTTGGCTGCCTTTGCTCCACAGGCGTCTGCTTCCTCCTGGCGCTGAGGTCTGGGGAGTGAATATGACCTGTACTTTTGCTTCAGGTCCTCCAGGGGGCGCAGCTGATTGCCGTGGCCTCGGCGGATGCGGCGGCGGCAGGCGTGGAAGGTTCCTCGTTGCAGGCCAGTGACATCCAGGTGCAGTACGTCCAGCTGGCGCCCGTGGCTGACCACACTGCTGCCGTGCAGGTGAGACCGGGGGACGGGACTGGGACCCTGCCCATGCTGATGAGCCGACAGACAGCTGCCCAAAGGGTGCATGTGCCGCTCTGCAGTGAGCAAATGTGTGCTGCCTGCCGTGCCATTATGCCATCTTCTCAATAATAATGCTCACGGTTCACCTCAAATGTTATATGCGTGTCTAATATTAAGATATTGTACTTACTGTCCATATGAAGGAAGGTACATCCATGCTACATTAGGTAGAGTCTGACCAGCCCCATTTATCCTTCTGTACTCAGGGGTCTGATTCAACCAATGAGTGATCAGGACCGGCTGCCAATGATATCATCCGTTATGGTGTTGGCTAAGCCAACTAGCTGGAAATTGCCTATTGCTTGCACGGTTTTTTTGCGTGAATGTGGCAGCACTATTCCTTGCGACTAGTTAGCGTTTCAAACAAACCATAGTAATTAGCTTGGTGTGCCTTTTCTCCCCCAGCTTTTATCAGCAGAAGATCGGTAATGATTTCCTCATGAATGAGCAGCTTCAAAGGTGCCGCGTGAATTCCGCAGTCTGATATAAATGTGGACTCAGTCATCGCAGACATGATCTGACTGAACACCCTGTTCCCCCCAGCCCCTGGGGGATGTTGGAGCAGACGCCCAGTCCTCAAAGTCTGCCCCTTAGGATGGGCGATACTCTGCCTTGGCAGGGCACCAGGAATAAAGTCGTTTTATGCGTTTCTATTGGTTGGTTCTTCACTGAAGTACATGGCCTGTGATGTATCGTATTGCTGTGAAGATGGTGTCCTCTGTTGGGCTGCTTAATGGCTCCATCCCCTTAATCGCGTTTCCACATTGCTGCTGCCGCCGTCATTCCAGCTTCAGAAATGCATGGTCAGACAGTGAGTGACCTTTTCCCCTCTTCCTCTGTAGTACTGGGGAGGCCAGTTTGCAAGGGGGAGGGACAAGCACTCTCAGCTCTGCTCAGCCCAGCTGCCTGCCAACTTGCTGACTGTAAAATTATTGTTTCATCTGCTTTTAAATCCCGGGAAAACTATATATCAAAAGGCAGACTGCAGTTACTCCAAGCTTAATATCGTGTGACTCACAGTGGTAAGAATACGTGTATCACTTAGCAGCAGTAAGCCTGGGCGACCGCCATGCTGCCAGCTGCGTCCCTTTCACATAGAGCACTGCACCCGGCATCTGCTAAGGGATGCAGGTCAGCCGGTGACTTTCTTACATGTAGTTTCCATTGCTGGAGTTTTTGGTGAGTGTACGTTATTTGGAGTCTGTATTACCGTGCAGTATATTTAGGGTTTAATTTTACTGTTTAACACAGAATAGCTGTGTTAAAACATGCCCAGTGGGCAAGGTCATAATCAGAAAATCACTGATTCGAGCTCTGCGACGAGTGCTCCCACTGCATAACTGCAGGATCCACTAAGAAAGGGAATGTCTTAGAAGTTACAGTAATTATAAACAGTAGCAAGAAATATGTGCTGATTAAATCAGTCAGTGCGTTTTGGTTTTTAAAAACCATGTCCTATAAGTGTAGTGAAAAATACCAGTGCACTGAAGTTCAGACTAAACCCTGTCCGCAGTGCCTGTCCGCAGTGCCTGTGTGCCTTAGCTGCTGTATCAATCTATAAGCTCTGGCAGGTAGTGTGTCTAGCCCTTCTGCTAAGACTGGTGTAGTGCGCCGAGTCTCCATCGCCGTGAATAGCCATAGTCAACCTTTCTCCCTGGTGTCTGGAGTGATGTTCCATATGACTAAGTAAATAATTTTCAGTAAAATCACAGCTTGTTTATCTGAGAAGAGCAGACAGGCTGAGTTGTAGCCAGACGCTTTGCTGATTACTGCCAAGCATATTGCGTGCTGGCATTCATTCACGGCAATCAGAGTGTTTACACTGCATAGAGCTCTTAAAGTCTCCCTCAGTGGGGAATTATTTGTTCTAATGGCTGACTGTAGATGGGCCATTGGCTAGACAGCGTGGCATAACGGGCTGGGCCTGGCGACACCACCTGCTAACGGAGCGGAGAAGCTGGAAGAGGGCTGAGCCGGGACAGACACCTTCTGAGATGCAGCCAAGCTGCACACACAGCACTTAATAGGCCACCCCTGGGGTAGCGTGAAATGACGTGTTACAGACTTTGATTTAATAAGCATAATAGGAAATGAAAGGTTGGATGAAGATGTTACTGAGTGAAGCGGGCAAGATGCAAGCTGATGAGAAAGGAATGAAAAATTAATTGCATTAGTTTTCCTTTTCATTTTGTGTTTGATTTTAATATTATGAAAGTTTGCTTTTATTTCTTTGTTTTAAATTGAATTTAAAGAGATGGCTGCATGAGTCGGGGCTTTAATCCTAAAACCACATTTTTATGTGCTGAAAAAAAAGTAAACATTTGGCATGAAAGTTTTATGAAATGTATTCCAAAGCACACAATATCAGTTTCAATAATGCATCCTGATAAAGCATTCTGAAACAGAGCCTAGACTTTCAAATCATAAATCTGACTTTGGATTAATGAAATTACGGAGAAGGTGAATTCTTGTGTGATGCCGTGTGACAGTGACGACTGCGGTGGGTGCCATCGGCGCCGCACCCCAGAGAGGGGAGAGGAATGCAGAGAGGTGCTGTGGCGGAGTCACCGTGGAAACCGCCGCAAAGGGAGGCAGGCAGTGAGGAGTGTGATGAGGGGAGGGGACCATTGGGTGCCACTGAGTGGGACTGACTTTCTGAACCTTTGAATCTCCCTGAAGTTTCTTTCTCCCCTTTTGGTCATTCCTATAGTCAGCTGCCCAAGTTAGAATCATTCTTAGATCTTTTCCAGGCATATGGTAGCTGTTATATATGTGCTTTAAAAATTGTTCTTGTGCTATTTGTTTAGATGTTTTTTTTCATCATTTTGTTTTTGCCTATTTAATAGTTTCCATGACAAATATTGGATCAAATAGATGGACTCATATAGGATTTTTTTTTTCTCCCCTGGACACAAAGTAACTGATTGTATAATCAGACTTGCCTACCTTATGTTCTGTTGGCTCTGTTGGAAAATTAGGGCTCATCTGGTGGTAATTCAAAACTCTTAACTACCAGCCAAGGTGCAGAATGGTGCAGGGAGGAGATTCTGGCACAGTTCCATAGCTGTCCATTAAAATTCCAGGTTTAAAATATAAATACATGCTTTTTATGGAAAGGAAAGGACTTATTAGTACTTGTTAAACGGGTCTTTATAGGGATGTATTTTGCCACTGAGTGTGAGTGCAGCACAAAGCCATTAATTTTCTGTTATTGTATAAAAATTGAAATGGTCTGCAGTGTTGATTTCTCTGTGAGTTCACTGCCCTTTTGCTTTGAGTCTCTAGGTTAGTCCTGATACAATGTGATGGCTGCATGCAGAAACCGCCAGTCCAGGCAGAACACTGAAACTGACCAGTGTTTTGCGAGGTCAGCTGTTGGTTTTAGGGCCAGTTCCTGTGTAGCTTCTGGCTGTGTGGTAGACTAGCAGGCTCTCCCCGTCTAGCTACAGTGGGGTCAGTTTGGGAAGGTCTTTGCCGCTGTAATAACATGTACAGCGCTCTCCCCCGCAGGGAACAGAGGCGCTGGAGCCCGGCCTGCAGGCTGACATGGAGGTGAAGCATGGAGCCATTCAGATCCAGCAGGGCGAGAACGGGGAGCTGCTGCAGATCCAGATGCCCGTCAGCACCGTCAGCACTTGAGAGATTGGGCAACAGGGTGCTTCTTGACAGTGGTGACGGACGGCCATTTTGACACGGCCCAACGAAAAGAGCAGAACAGAGATTGAGCGGTTATTTAAAGCGCAGTTCCACTTAGTAAATTAATAACTTTCTTTTTGCTTGAAGCGGATGATCAGATACATACAGCCCACGCTTCACGCCTGTATCGGAACAATTCTTCAAATCATGGACACAGGAGAAGTCCCTTTGTAGGACGTGCCTTTGAACTCGGTCAGCTTATTGGCCATTGCTCTCTACTGCCCTCTGTCTGTGATGTTCTTCTGTGTGTCAGAAAGATGTGTGCAGAGCACATTTATGGACACAGTATAGATGGAAGCAATACAAGCTGATATGGAAGCATTTTTGCTGCTGCCAGGCCAGACAAACGTCAACACGTTCCAGTCCTCGGTGCACCAGGGATTCCTCAATGTCATTTGTAGCACCCTGTAGCTCTCCTAGCAGTGTGCCCAGGGCCACGTGGCGTCGCACGTGTCAAGCGGCTCTTTGGAAGATCGTCACAGCTCAGCTGAAGCGCTGACGGACCCCTTCGCCTCCACCTCGACGTTTCCCTGCTAGGCGTCTACGCAGCAAGAGCGTAGGGAACCCATTTCAAACTGTTGAGACTTTAAAAAGATCTATAAACAATTAAAGGTTCATTTGACATTTTTTTGCTTTTGAGAAACTCTGCTGTGCTTTGTAATTTTGTTGTCCTTGTTTTGATCACTCATATCAGTTTTGCTCATTTGGCAATCTTTAGTACATCTTGCTTGGATGTGCATTTAGCGTTTCTAAGATGTAACGTAATAGGAGATGATAAAAATAAAGACTTTTTGTCGTGTTTTGTTTGAAATTCATTCACATTATTAATATTTTATAAGTGGCACTTGTTTATTTGTCCATACTCGAACAGTCACAGGATTGCCAGGTTTTTGTCAGTCTCATGTTAGAGGTCTAGCAGGGAAGTTTGGGATATGGAGGAGATACGGACTGGGTGGGGGTGCTCAAATTCACCATCCAAAGGCCCCAGTTCTCCATGCTTTGGAGTTGTCTTCCAATTAATAACAGGCTTAGAAGAGTAACACTAAATAATCAGATCAATTGTTTGAAATGGTCAGATGAAAATCAGAACCCCTGAAAATAGTGAGACTGGTGTGCTCTGGTAAAGGTAGTTTTTGAATAATCTGTATTGGTTTTTATTTTTTAGTATTTTATATTTCAAAATGACATATTTGCTTCATACCAGAGATATGTAGCTAGTAACACTAGTGATACAATAGTGTGCTTTTAAGCAGCTGAAGGCACGAGTAAACTGGATCAGAACAGCTCTTGTCTGTTTCCAATGTTGTACTTCATATAACTTCTGTCTTTTCCATCTGGTGTAGAGACAGGACAGGCAGGGCAGACAGAACAGAGGATAGGCGGGACAGACAGGGCAGACAGGAAATGCAGGACAGATAGGACAGGTAGGGCAGACAGGTAGGGCAGACAGGATAGGCAGGACAGACAGGACACGCAGGGCAGACAGGACAGGTAGGGCAGACAGGATAGGCAGGACAGACAGGACACGCAGGGCAGACAGGAAACGCAGGGCAGACAGGACAGGTAGAGCAGACAGGACATGTAGGGCAGACAGGATAGGCAGGACAGACAGGACATGTAGGGCAGACAGGATAGGCAGGACAGGTAGGGCAGACAGGATAGGCAGGACAGGAAGGGCAGACAGGACATGCAGGGCTGACAGGATAGGCGGGACAAACAGGATAGACAGGACAGGCAGTTGTCTGGAGCCCCTGAGCTGGGCCGATTACGTCGTACATTCCAGTGACAAATCTGCTTTATTTGTGTATCCTGTTTTTCTCAGTAAAGTGAAAATACAAGAATGTGTGTATTAAATTATCTTTGTTGATATTATTAATTTAGACTTCATGTTAAAATAATGGTCATAAATTTTACCATGTCTGGTAGGGTGCGTTGGAGTGCCTCATGGAGTTTTTTTCCTTGGGTCCCCAGTGTCCCTAGGATCACCTCTGCTCACAGACTGACCATATATGCGACGATCTGGTAGAAATCGACAGCCTCGTTGTCTCAGAGGAAAGACGTCCGTCCTCTTCCTCTTTCCCTCTTCAGCCATGGCCTCGGTAACGGCCAGGTAGTGTGTGCACGTCCGCAGCCGGTATGTCACCCCCCCCTCTAATGAGCGATATGTCTGAAGCTGCCCCCTGCCTTCAGAGATTATAAATCAACATTTCCCTAGTCACTTTACTTCGTGCGGTTGCTAAGATACACGGTATGGGGTTGGGTTTAAATAAAGAATTTTAAGTCATAAATAGGACGTTTACTTTGGTAAATCAGCAATTGCAAACAACTTGAGAGTAGTTTGTCTCCGGCTGGCATGGCGACAGATCAAATAATGAGCTTTTTTGGCAAACGTGTTTCGTCTTATAACTAAAGTTGAACTTGCATTGTACGTTGAACTGTCAGTCTTGTAAGTTCAGTCCGCCGTTGCAATGTTGGGTTAATGTGCGTTTCCTGCTCTGTCGTACATTTTAGCCCACTGTGTCTGCGTTGTAGCTTTCAGTGCCCCCTTCCAGCTCTGTTTTGTGATAAGCAGAAAGCCCGTAGTATCCCAGGAATGAAAGTGCTCCATGCTACGTTAGTTAAGGGAAACCGGAATGGCTGTGATGACAGGATACTTTGGGTAAAAATGAAAGACATCCCGCAGTTACATCTGTCGTTCATTCCTCTGTATTAAATAACACGCCAAATAGCCGCACATCAGCAGGGACACTTATCTGCACCGCGGAAACGGAGAGGTTAAAAGCGCTTGGTGAGTGGGGAAGGGGTCCCTGCGGCTGGGGCTGCGCGGTGCGGCCGCTGGGAGGGAGGAGGTCCGTCTCAGCGCAGCATCTCAGCCTCTCAACATTTCCAGAAGTTTCCCAGACGTCTGGTTCACTTGTGATCTTTTCATTGGTAAGTCCCCCTCACACGGCAGAATTTACTAATGTCGTTTTTCAACCTGGCATTTCTTTTTTTTTTTAAAGTAACAGGCCTCTTTGAAGAGCCAGCGGTGGGTTGCGGGCTGTGTAGCTGGTGGGCAGGTAGCGGTGCCGCCGATCGGCGTCTCTGTTTACTTCCCCTTGTGTTCAGTGTATTTGTAGCAGCGGAACTATGGCGCAAATATTTGCATTTGCTTCTTGTCGCGGTTTAGTTTATGTTCAGTTTTCTTTTTTTATTATCTATGGCTGTGATACAGGTTACTTAATATTAGGCGCGATTTGTTATTTTGTTATATTCAACCAGATTATAGATTCTGCATGTAAACAGTGAATAGATGGTATAGGTATTGCATTTTGTGGCACAGATTTATATAGGAAGTTACTGAAAATAGGTAAATTATTTGATAGACGCATTTTCAGCAAATCGACGTATACTTCTGAGTGTAGGACGCGTCACGAATTTGCGTGTAGTCCTTTCTCCGGGGTTATGCTAATATTTTGTTTATCATTACATAATATCACATCGTTCCAAAATAATCGAATTCCACCAATAACTATGTTTACCTAAATCAGAACTGTAATTACGGTATGTCTTATTCTTGGAGAAAAGATCACAGGTTTGTGATCGATGAAGAAATAAGCAGGTGTGCATAACACACATTTTAATTAGTTTTAATTAGTTTTATAAGAGTTTCATTGATGAAATGTGGAAAACTAGTCTGGTGCGGAAGGAGGGAGGGAGGCTAGAAAGGAAGTTGGAAGGGAGGGAAGATGAAGGATGAGAGGAGCAGAGCCTCAGCAGCTGCGAGCGAGCGCCTCTGCTTTCAGGCGCATCCCGAAACAGGATAAGGTCCAGCGGCCGGAACACATTTTTGGATGGGGTAAATCAAATAATTCAGCCATTAAAAGGAGTATAGTGTGTATTGAGTCTTAGTACATTGTTTAAAATGTTAGATATTAATAACACAAATGATGTACATTTCAGTACTGGATTACAGGTGTATTAGTCTGCTAGTAAGTGACCTGGAAATGACAGGTAAACCTTAAACCAGGCATTGTGAAGATTCATGTACTTTTCAGGATGCTGTGTGGTAGAGTTGTGAGAGATCCAAACTTGTGATATTGGCGGCAATTCATATTCCCAAAAAAGAGCCTTGTACTGTACTGTTGACTGAGGTATTTAACCCAAAGCTGTTTCAGGGATCCATGCAGCTGTAAAAATATAGTTGAAAGCCATGGAAGTTGGTTTGGATTAAAAAGCATGTGCTAAGCACAACAATGATCAATGCTTTCCAGATACAATATGTTGATTCTGTAGCTTCTTTTTCTGGATATATATGTGATTGCATCTTCCACCCGCTTGCCTCGGATCTATCACCCATCGCGTTCTTCCCTAGTTTCTGTGCTGAAATTTATTACAGAGCAGAACTGTGAATTAAAGATGTAATGCCCTCCCTGTTTATTTTCTAAATCATTTCACCAGAATATGCATTAAATTGGGAATAAATTCAACTCTGAATGAAGAATCAGACAACAAGTAAAGTTTTTTGCATACTGCTTTGTCTTGAGGGATTAGAGTAGAATCATTTCAATGTCTTTAAGGGTTTTCATGCACACAGATACGTTCTCCATCTCAGAGCATGCTGCACTTTTCAGAGAACTGCTTATGGTACATGGATGGATAGTCAGTTCATTTCGGTTATGGACTGATGTCTCCATTATGTCTAGATGCAGAAAGTAGTGAATCCACTGTGGAATGTTTAATTATGGTATATTTTAGGTGCCATCAAATATCATCCACTATTCAGGCACTATTCAGAACATTATGGTAATGAGTATCCATCTGTCGGTCTCCCAAGTGCTTAATTTGACCTGTTCATATTGCTTAACACATCAAATTGTCATGACTTTCGAGATGAAGGATTCGAGGGCAGGCGTTTTTGACAAACCAAAGGGGTTTTATTGTAATAAAATGAAACGATAGAGACGAAATAAACAGGACCAGAAGGGATCAAAATGACAAGTATAGACATTGGAAGGACACAAGCTGACAGGCGGCGCAACATCAATGACCAGACTGGCGAGGGTGAGACAAACAGGCACTAAAATCCATAGAGTAACATGGGGCAACAAGCGTCAGGGGCGGCACATCAGGGCCACGTGACGGAGGAGACAGGAGGGTCAGGCAGACGTGGCAGGCAGGATGTAACATAAATATGTAACTTTTCCTTAGTCCTAAGTGTTACGTGAATCCTGGGCGCCCTGCCCTGACTCACCTCAGCATCCCGCTCCTGCTGTGTGGAGGGCTCAGTGCTTCTCCCTGCATTTCACAGCCAGATATTTTCAAAATCTCTGTTAGATTGACACTGGGAGCAGGTGAAAAACAAGACTTATTATTTCAGTAGTGAGTATGTGACATCTTGCCTTTGTGAGTCCTGGAAATGGCTGAATGAGACTGAATGAGTCACCATGAAGGTGGTCATTGTGCAGGGAGGGGTCCATGCATCTGCATTCCACACCCCCACACAATATAGACACATTTGCAGATCTTATGATAAAGTCTGAATGGTCTCCCCCCATTTTCTGCTGTACACTGCCCGGCATGGGATTTGTGCCTCTCTCTCTGTCTGTGCCTCTACGGCATAAGCCATGGAAAGGTGTGTGGATGTTTAAACTGATGTGCTTTTATTTGATGCGAATTCCCACTGCACTGCTCAGAATGACTACCAAGTGTGTCATGGACCAGCTGTTCATGGAGGACTGCCTCGGTGACTCATCGGCTTGGTGAAAAATTACTTTTTGTTTTTTGTTCGTCTTTACAGGCAATAAAGACTGTCCTCAGTGAGGAAAGCTAAATAATGTGTTATTCTCTGTTACTTTATTTGGATGGACTTGCCCTGAATCTCTTACATGCATCATACTCTTAATCCAGAAGACTATCAACTGGCACCAGAACCTCAATTCTGGACCTGGAAATAATGCTCCAATGGACTTAAAGAACCTCGGCTATTTATAATAAAAACTCTCAATTCCTTTAAAAGCCATCTTTTCAAACTGAAGTGTCTCAAGGTCCCCTTTCAAGCGAAAGGCTTTCAGTGGCGTTAGGCCGCTGTATTTTACGGCTGTGAACACCAGAGCCACTGCTGTGATGTCTTGGCACCGTGCGGCTCAGTGGGTTTGGACCTCGTGCCTGTGATTGTACGCCTCAAACCGCAGGGTTGGCTGAGTGATGCCACTGTTGGGCCCCTGAGTGAAGCCCTTAAGCCCCAATGACTCCAGGGACTGTCTGACCTGCTCTCAGCTGTGTGTCGCTTTGGATAAAAGGGCCTGAAAAATAAACAAAATGTAAATTTACACCAGTTTGAATCTCTGCAGACCTTGGACCTGTTTAGACAGTTCATTCTGGTTGGGAAAGGAATATCTGTACTCCATGGGAGAAATGCAATTGTTTGTTAACAAAATATGATGAAAGGAAGCTGGTTTTTCAAGGAAGCTTTCAGCTGCCTTGGGAAACTTTATTTTCTTCCACATATTTGTTATGGTTACAAATATGATTATAGTACAACGGTCATGCGTCGTTAGGAGCCCCAAGATGTTTGATAAATATAAAATTCCAAATGCAGTTGAGCTGACAAGAGATTAGTCTAGGGGAGGAATAATGGTGAAAACTCTTCACAGGGGCCTGATTTCATCACCGTGTATGGTGCAAGGTGCCTGATGTGTTAATTATCTGGCAGGCAGCCATGTTCCTCAGTGTGCCTGTGGCTGATTGGATATGAAAGGGTGTGACACCTATGGGTAGCGTGTGCCCATGACTGATTGGATATGAGAGGGTATGACACCTATGGGTAGCGTGTGCCTGTGGCTGATTGGATAAGAGAGGGTGTGACACCTATGGGTAGCGTGTGCCTGTGGCTGATTGGATAAGAGANCTGATTGGATAAGAGAGGGTGTGACACCTATGGGTAGCGTGTGCCTGTGGCTGATTGGATAAGAGAGGGTGTGACACCTATGGGTAGCGTGTGCCCGTGACTGATTGGATAAGAGAGGGTGTGACACCTATGGGTAGCGTGTGCGTGTGGCTGATTGGATTTGAGAGGGTGGGATTGGATAGCTCAGGCTGCCCATGTGAGGGTATGATTGGCATAATGTGCCAGAAGAAAACTGTGTGTCCTGCAGGCAGAGACAATGCAATGAAATGCTCGCTATACTGTGTCCATCTGTCCAAAGCTCATAAGCATTCGTAATGTTAGTCTCTGTTCCTCCTGTATTATTATTATTATTATTATTATTATTATTATTATTATTATTATTAGTAGTAGTAGTAGTAGTAGTAGTAGTATTTCAACTAATCACAGAGTTCAACCAAAGCAGAATATTGTTAGCAGCAGAAGTCACAAAGTTCTTCAGCCCTCACCCCCTATACTGCCTGGTACAGGCGGCAGCCCTCACCCCCTATACTGCCTGGTACAGGCGGCAGCCCTCACCCCCTATACTGCCTGGTACAGGCGGCAGCCCTCACCCCCTATACTGCCTGGGACAGGCGGCAGCCCCC